GTATTAGCCAGGATGGCCTCAATCTCCTGACCTTGTACTCCACCTGCCTTGGCCTCCCAAAGTGTTGGGATTACAGGCGTGAGCCACCGAGCCTGGTCAACTTTTTTTTTTTTGAAATGAAGTCTTGCTCTGTCACTCAGGCTGGAGTGCAATGGCATGATCTCAGCTCACTGCAACCTCTGCCTCCTGGGTTCAAGCAATTCTCCTGCCACAACCTCCCGAGTAGCTGGGATTACAGGCAACCACAACCACGCCCGGCTAATTTTTGTATTTTTAGTAGAGATGGGGTTTCGTCATGTTGGCCAGGCTGGTCTCGAACTCCTGGCCTCAGTTGATCTGCCCACCTCGGCCTTCCAAAGTGCTGGGATTACAGACGTAAGCCACCACGCCCGGCCAAAAATTAAACTTCTTATTTTCGGCTAATTATAGATGCACATGCGTAGTAGAGAGATCACTTGTACACTTTGCCCAGTTTTCCCTCAACGGTAACAGCTTGCAGAACCCAAATGTACAATATCATATTCATGATACTGACATTGACACAATCTGCCTGTGCTGCTCAGATTTCCCCGGTTTTCATTGTGTTCATTTGTGTGGGTGTACTTATCTCACACGTGTGGGTTCCTGTTTCCGCCACACTCGTGTTCACTCGTGTGGGTGTACTTATCTCACACGTCTGGGTTCCTGTATCCACCACAGTCGTGTTCATTCGTGTGGGTGTACTTATCTCACACGTGTGGGTTCCTGTATCCGCCACAGTCGTGTTCATTCGTGTGGGTGTACTTATCTCACACGTGTGGGTTCCTGTATCCGCCACAGTCATGTTCATTCGTGTGGGTGTACTTATCTCACACGTGTGGGTTCCTGTTTCCGCCACACTTGTGTTCATTCGTATGCATGTACTTATCTCACACGTGTGGGTTCCTGTTTCCGCCACACTCGTGTTCATTCGTGGGCCTGTACTTATCTCACACGTGTGGGTTCCTGTATCCGCCACAGTCGTGTTCATTCGTGTGGGTGTACTTATCTCACACGTGTGGGTTCCTGTATCCGCCACAGTCGTGTTCATTCGTGTGGGTGTACTTATCTCACACGTGTGGGTTCCTGTATCCGCCACAGTCGTGTTCATTCGTGTGGGTGTACTTATCTCACACATGTGGATTCCTGTATCCGCCACAGTCATGTTCATTCGTGTGGGTGTACTTATCTCACACGTGTGGGTTCCTGTTTCCGCCACACTCATGTTCATTGGTGTGCCTGTACTTATCTCGCACGTGTGGGTTCCTGTATCCGCCACACTTGAGACGCAGAACGCTTCCATACCACAAGGGTCCCTCCTGTTGCCCCACACCCCCAGTCCCTAAACCTTTGCAACTGCTGACCTGTTCTCCACTTCTAAGACGCTACCTTTTCAAAATGGAACATAAATGGAATGATAGAGGGTGTGCTTTTTAGGCTTGGCTTTTTTTTCACTTTGTGTCATTACCTGAAGATTCATCAGGTTGTTCTATGTATTAACGGTTGGTTCCTGCTGAGTCCACTTTGCTCAGCCATCACTGACTGAGAGACACCTGCCTTGTTTCCAGTTTGGGGCTATCACAGGTAACTACTATGAACATTTGGGCACTATTTTTGGGGTGAACATAAGTGTTTTTTTGTTGTTGTTTTTTTTTTTTTTGAGACAGAGTCTTATTCTGTTGCCCAGGCTGGAGTGCAGTGGCATAATCTCGGCTCACTGTGACCTCCACTGCCCAGGTTCAAGCGATTCTCCTGCCTCAGCCTCCTGAGTAGCTGGGACTACAGACACCTGCCACCATGCCTGGCTAATTTTTGTATTTTTAGTGTAATTGAGGTTTCACCATATTGGCCAGGCTGGCCTCAAACTCTTGACCTTGTGATCCACCCACCTCAGTCTCCCGAAGTGCTGAGATTACAGGCGTGAGTCACCGTGCCCAGTTGGGGTGAACATAAGTCTTTATTTCTTTGGGATAAATGCCCGAGAGTACAATTGCTGGACCATATGGTGATTGCATATTTAGTTTTATGAGAAACTGCCAACCTGTTTTCCACAGCAGCTATAACACTTTACATTCTTTTTCCTTTTTTTTCCAAGATGGAGTCTTGCTCTGTCACCCAGGCTGGAGTGCAAAGGTGCGATCTCAGCTCACTGCAATCTCTGCCTCCCAGATTCAAGCGATTCTTCTGCCTCAGCCTCCCAAGCAGCTGGGATTACAGGCAACTGCCACCACGCTTGGCTAATTTTTGTATTTTTAGTAGAGATGGGGTTTCACTGTGTTAGCCCAGGATGGTCTCAATCTCCTGACCTCGTGATCTGCCCACCTTGGCCTCCCGAAGTGCTGGGACTACAGGCATGAGCCACTGCGCCAGGCCGCCCATTTTCTAATTGGATTTTTGTTTGTCTGTTTGAGATGCAGTCTCACTCTGTCACCCAGGCTGGAGTGTGGTGGTGCAATCTTGGCTCACTGCAACCTCCATCTCCTGGGTTCAAGCAATTCTCCGGCCTCAGCCTCTTGAGTAGCTGGAATTACAGGCATGTGAAACCATACTTGGCTACCAATTGGGTTTTTAAACTGTTGAGTTTTGAAGGCTCTTTATATATTCTCGATACTAGACCTTTGTTGGATATGTGGTTTGCAAATATTTTTCCCAGTCTACAAGTACAAAAACCTTTTGATGGAAGTGAATTAAATGTATAGATCAATTTGGGAGAACTGACATTGTTACTATGTTGGATTTTCCAATCCATGAACATTGTATGTCTATCCATTTCTTTAGGTGTTTATTGATGATGTCTTTTATTAATGGTGTGCAATTTTTTTTTTTTTTTTTAAACAGAGTCTCACTCTGTTGCCCAGACTGGAGTGCAGTGGCACAGTCTCAGCTCATTGCAACCTCTGTCTCCTAGATTCAATCAATTCTCACCTCACAGCCTCCTGAGTAGCTGAGATTACAGGCGTGCACCACCACGCCCAGCTAATTTTTTGTATTTTTAGTAAAGACAGGATTTCACCATATTGGCCAGGCTGTTCTTGAACTCTTGACCTCAGGTGATCCACCCACCTTGGCCTCCCAAAGTGCTGGGATTACAGATGTGAGCCACCTTGCCCAGCCATGGTGTGTAATTTTTTTTTTTTTTTTTTTGAGATGGAGTCTCACTCTGTTGTCTAGGCTGGAGTGCAGTGGCACGATCTCAACTCACTACAACCTCCGCCTCCTGGGTTCAAGAGATTCTCCTACCTCAGCCTCCCAAGTAGCTGGGACTACAGGTGCACGCCACCACACCTGGCTAATTTTTGCATTTTTACTGGAGACGGGGTTTCACCATGTTGGCCAGGCTGGTCTCAAACTCCTGACTTTGTGATCTGCCTGCCTTGGCCTCCCAAAGTGCTGGGATTAAGGCGTGAGCCACCACGCCCGGCCCATGGTTTTTAATTTTACATGCAAGTTCTGTAGATGGTTTGCTAAGTTTATAGCAAAGTATTTAATTTTCCTTGGAGTAATTATAAATGTCTTTAACTTTGGTTTTCATGTTTCTTGTTGGTATACATCAATGCAATTGATTGTTGTGTGCTAATCTTGCATTCTGCAATGTTGCTGAGCTCACCTGCTCAACCCAAGAGTTCTGACATGTAGAGGGGAGGAGCCCCTCAACAATGCATGCTCAACAGAGACTGAATGATGAAAGTAGCTACTGTGGCTGCCCCATTTCATGGTGACAGGCTCAGACACCACCTGTCAGAAGCAGTGCTCCACAATAGTGAGGTCCCTCAACAGGGAAGCCTGCATTGCAACTCCCCCTCTGCCAGGGGGGGTTAGGGGATGTTGAAGGCCCCAGGCCAACATTGGCACTGGGCTATGAAGGAAGGTTGTAAGGGGGCTAGGTCCTCAGGACAGGGCGAGCAAGAGGTGAGGAGAAGGAGAACAGAAGGAACTGGTGGGGGAATGGGGAACAAAGATGAGGAGGGAGGCTAGACGGGGGAAAGGCAGAGGAGATAAAGGGAGCAAGGATCACAGGGCCCCATCACATGTCTCAAGAGAGTGGAACTCCCTTGGGGCCCGCCCATCTCAGGACACCCCTGGGTGAGCCCCATTTTCTCTTTGTTGCTGGATGGGACGCTATGCCAAAAAAAAGAAAAATCTCAACGAGCACAGCTCTATCTGAGACACACACCCAATCTCTGCAGAAGATTGCACAGTGAAAGTTGAGGCCTCATGATCAGCCTGTTCAGACTCAGGTGTGGACAACGGACAGACCCTGGCAAAGGAGATGAATGTTTAAGACAAAAACCAGGCCAGGCCTGGTGGCTCATGCCTGTAATCCCAGCACTTTGGGAGGCCAAGGTGGGTGGATCACGAGGTCAGGAGATTGAGACCATCCTGGCTAACATGGTGAAACCCCGTCTCTATGAAAAATACAAAAAATTAGCCGGGTGTGGTGGGGGGCGCCTATAGTCCCAGCTACTAAGGAGGCTGAGACAGGAGAATGGTGTGAACTTGGGAGGTGGAGCTTGCAGTGAGCCGAGATCACGCCACTGCGCTCCAGCCTGGGCAACAGAGCAAGACTCCATCTCAAAAACAAAAAACAAAAAACAAAAAAACAGGAATAATATTGTGAGTATCAGAAAACAGGGATGTGTTTCAGGGTCAAGAAAGCCTTCTTTTTTTTTTTTTTTTTTTTTTTTTTTTTTTTTTTTTTTTTTTGAGACGGAGTCTCGCTCTGTCACCCAGGCTGGAGTGCGGTGGCCGGATCTCAGCTCACTGCAAGCTCCGCCTCCCGGGTTCACGCCATTCTCCTGCCTCAGCCTCCCGAGTAGCTGGGACTACAGGTGCTGCCACCTCGCCCGGCTAGTTTTATGTATTTCTTAATAGAGACGAGGTTTCACCGTGTTAGCCAGGATGGTCTCGATCTCCTGACCTCGTGATCCGCCCGCCTCGGCCTCCCAAAGTGCTGGGATTACAGGTGTGAGCCACTGCATCCGGCCCAAGAAAGCCTTCTTGTTTGGAATCTGTTTGCACATCTGACCAGGCCAGCCTCCACCCCACCCCTATACTGGCCTCAGCAACAGGGCCTGAAGCCCCTTGGGCTCTCCCAGGGTGGGCCAGGTACAGTTGTGGGATCAGCAGGTTCTTGCAGACAAGACTAAGCCGAAACTCCCTCCTCTCTGCCTTCCAACACACAGACCTCTCCATCCTAAACAAACAGAAACCTGTGCCTACTCCTCTGAGAGCTGTGTCCTCGGTTGTAAAATGCAGGTAACAATCTGGTGCGTGTGTGGGAGACTGCCTACCCCAGGGTAGGGCCCACAGGCCTTCCCAGCCTTCCCTCCCAGCTTGGCGGGCAGCCTTTGGCCCCTCCTACCCCATGTCTGCTTTCCACAGGGGCACTAGAGGGACTGGTCTGATTTGAGGCTCTGTGCAAAGCGAGCCCAGCCTCTTCCTCCAGGCTGGCCTCTGGCCCCTTCCTGTGGCTGGCTTGAACCTCAGGAACTTGGGATCCACAGCCCCCTTCAGGAAATGCAGAGCTTCTGCTGGGCAGAGTGACTTCCAGGCCGCCTTTCCTGCGCCTTTCCACCCTGAGGACCACACAGGCTGTGACCGGGGGCCCTTTCTGGAGGGGACATTCGGTTTTTGTGGCAGGGACTTCCAAACTGAGGCCAAAGGAGGAGGCTCCAACTTCACCTTTGGCCCCCCTTTCATCCCCTTTTTTGGGTCTTCCTTAACTGCAACGGGGCGGGACCCTCCTCCGTAGTCCCTGGGGCGGAACTGGCCCCGTTGCTCCACCTGTCCCCACCTCCACCCCCGGGCGGTCCCGGCCCACGCTGGAAGGTCCTTGAGCCCGGGCCGCCCGTGGGACCGATGGAGACCCATGGAGCCGCGGACGATGGCAGGACAGACGGGGGCAGACCCCGGGTTGGCCGAGCCCAGGGCCCTGTGTGCACAACAGGCCCACCGCACCTACGCTCGCCGCTGGGTGTTCCTGCTCGTAGTCAGCCTGGTCAGCTGCTCCAACGCCATGGTAGGGGCGGGGACAGGGACAGGGGGCTCCGGGACCCTCGGTCCCTTCGGATCAGCTGGGTTTCATTTTCCTGTGGCCACAGCCCGAGGTGCCAGGTGCTGGCTGGGGCCGGGGCCAGGGGGTGCCTTCTGGGGGTGGCTAGGGGGTGTGGGCACTGGGGGCACTGTCTGTCCTGGAGGTGTCGGGGCCCAGGGCACAGAGCAGGAGGGCTGGGTGCCCAGGGGGATCTGCCAGTCATGGAGTCCCAGCCCTTCCCAGCCTTCAGTGGCTCCAGCCAGTGGCCTGGGTCCCTCTTCCCCAGCCAGCACATACAGGTGGCCCTGCAAAGGCCCTCCCTCCCTCCCTCCACGCCTCCCAGCCCCAGGACAGCAGGCACAGAGCAGAGGTGGGCTTGGAGCCGCACTCTCCTCCACCTGACTCTGAGTGAGGGGCGGCTCCTGGGCTGGGCTGGGCTCCATCCTGCCCCCACTCCCTTCCCGTGCTGCACACTGCAGCCTTTCCTGCCCTGTGTGCCCTCATCAACCATTCCAGGGAGCCTCAGGAACTGGTTGGGCAGTATCTGGGCAATATGCAATGAACAGCTAGAGTTGGCAGCAGGACCCACAGCTTAGGGAGGCGCCGGGTCACGGGGATGGTCAGGAAGCTCAGGGTCAGGAGCAGGAGCCGCTGTTAGGCCTGGGTCAGGGTTCTTCCAGGTGGACCCCGGGGCCTCTCCCCTCCTCCTTTGCTGGCTGGGAATGGAGAACCAGCTCCCGGACAAGACAGGCCTGGGATCTGCTGGATGGGCCTGGGGGCTGCCTGCTGCCCACAGATGCCGGCACACGCCGTACGTAACTCACTGCCGTGGCTTGGCGTCCTGGCCCACCGTGTCCAGGCACTGGGGGAGCCATAACTGACTTTGGCTGGAGCGTCTGAGGGTGTGGGCTGGTTCGATGGTCAGTAGGTGTCCTGGGTGTGGGGCATTCCTTGGACAGTCAAGGGCCTCCTACTGCAGTTCTTCACCGTTGTAGCAATACCCACAAGTCATCATGGAGCACACAGAAATCTCACCCTGACACCAAGAGTCGTCATGGTCTCTGCCTGGGTCACCACAGTGAGCCGTGAGCACCACGTTCACTCCAGCCAAGTGCCCTTGAGGCTGGAGTTCCTCATCTGCAGCCAGTGACCAGGGCTCCTGGGTTCCAGCGGGCAGTGTAAGGGGCGGGCGGAGCAGAGCTTGGGTCAACACCCACCTAGAAGACAGCCAAGCCCAGTGCTCTGGATGAGACTCAAAGGACCCAAGGGGGCGAGCGAGGGCAGGGTCGAGGCTGGGAGAGGAGGAAGGGAGTTGGACAGATCGTCCTCCCACGTTGCCCCGCACGCTTCAGACGCATCTCTGCTCAGTGAGTCAGCTGTGGGCCTCACTCAGGCCCCCGAGGAAGCAGGACAGGGCTGAGGCTGGAGCGGCAGGCTTGGCTCTGCAGGGCAGGCTTTGTCAGTGGACGCCTGGCTTTCTCTCCGTGGGCTTGGCCAGGCAGCCATCAGCTGGGCTTGGGGAGCTCGTTCTGTGCCTGGGAGATCTGCCCCTGGCCCTGTCCTGCGGAAAAAGGAAGACAAGGTGGCTGTTGCCCAAGCTCCCTGTCCTGTCCCGTGGGCTGAGTCAGACCTCGTCCGGGTGGACCCTGGGTCTGGCTGCTCTGCCGGAGGGTGTGGCCTGGAGCTCGGTGGACTCATGGAAGTTGACCTTGAGTGACACAGCCTCCTCGGGGCCCACGCGTGGACGCCCTCCTCCCTCCTATAGTGAGCCCTGGTGACCGGCTCCACTTTGACCTCCCTCAGGGATGAGCCAGTCTCACCTCCTCTAGGAGGCCTTCCCCTCGGCCGCAGTGGGCACTCGTGCTGTGTGCCAGACGTCTGTGGGGTGGAGAGCCCTAGCACCTGATAATGCCTGCGGGGTGGGGAATGGCATCCGCTCTGTCAACATTCTGCCCAAACACCTGGGCCTTCTGGGAGGGAAGGTCGGGCTGGCTTTGGGTGGGGCTGGCCTGCAATCCCAGAGGTTCTAGCTGAGACCCTGTCATGCCCGTCTTTCCCTGGCCTGCCTTGGAGCCCCAGGTCTGGTCTGGGTGGGGCTCGTGGTCCTGTGGGCTCTGGCCAGGTCCTTGGCCTTAGTGTCTGCCCCTCAGGCTGGTCCCCGGTCAGGGCATGCTTTCTGACCCTGCGCTGGGTGCCCTCCCTCGGGGAAGGCAAGGTGGCGCTCTCCTTGGGCAGGAGGGCCCTGTGTCCAGCTTGCTGGATCCCCTCGGCCTCACAGGCCTGCTGGCACTCTGGCTCCCTCGGGCTGGCTGGGGCCAGAGCACGTAGGTCCGGGGTCTGTGGCTCTGTGCTGACTCCCACCTGGCCCCTGCAGCTGTGGCTCAGCTTTGCACCTGTGGCTGACATCGTTGCCGAGCACTTCGTCCTGTCCGTGGCGCAGGTCAACTGGCTGTCACTGGTCTACCTCGTGGTATCCACCCTGTTTGGCCTGGTGGCCATCTGGGTCCTGGACTCCGTCGGGCTCCGTGGGGCGGTGAGTCAGACCCCACACCGTGGCCCGCTCTGGGACAGGGTGAAGGCCCCTGCATTTGGGTACGAGAGTCAAGGCCTCCTCCCCAGACCAGGGGCCATCAGTCCCAACAGCTGGGGACCCAGCAGAGCTGTCAGGGTGGCGGCCGTGGGAAGTGCAGGTGCTGGGAGGACGCGGTGGGCACCTGGGTTGGCGGCAGAGACCCTGACCCCGTCCCTGACACCCTCCTCGCAGACCATCCTGGGCGCGTGGCTGAACTTTGCCGGGAGTGTGCTACGCGTCGTGCCCTGCGTGGTTGTTGGGACCCAAAACCCATTTGCCTTCCTCATGGGTGGCCAGAGCCTCTGTGCCCTTGCCCAGAGCCTGGTCATCTTCTCTCCAGCCAAGGTGGCTGCCTTGTGGTTCCCAGAGCACCAGCGAGCCACGGCCAACATGCTCACCACCATATGTGAGTTCCGGGGAGGGAGGCCGCCTGCCTGGGCGCACCCCGGGGTCTCTTCTGGCTCCACGCACAGATACTCGGCTCCCCGGCCTCTCTGGCTAGGGTGGAGGAGCTGGGGCCCAGAAGGTTCTGCCTGTGGGCTGGAGAGGAAGCCGGGCCACAGCCGAGCTGATGCATTTCCCTGTGCATCCGCCCACCCAGCGAACTCCCTGGGCGTCCTTGTGGCCAACATGCTGTCCCCTGCGCTGGTCAAGAAGGGCGAGGACATTCTGTTAATGGTGAGGGGTCATGAGGCGCCCGTGCCTGGCCTGTGTGGTGTGTGCGCATGCGTGTCTGTGTGTTCCTGAGCCCAAGCGTGTCCGTGTTCCTATGCCTGTGTGTGATTCCCCCCGCCCCGCCCCCCAAGAAGGAGTCTCAGCCTGTTGCCCAGGCTGGACTGCAGTGGCGCAATCTCGGCTCACTGCAACCTCCACCTCCTGGGTTTAAGCAATTCCCCGCCTCATCCTCTGGAGTAGCTGGGACTACAGGCGTGCGCCACCATGCTCGGCTAATTTTTTTTTTTTTTTTTTGTATTTTTGGTAGAGTTGGGTGGGGTTTCACCATGTTGGCCAGGCTGGTCTCAAACTCCTGACCTCGTGATCCTTCTGCCTCGGCTTCCCAAAGTGGGATTACGGGCATGAGCCACCGTGCCCGGCCAGTGTGTGTGTGATGTTACTATGCATGACTATGTGTATCGAGTGTGTGTGGTATGTGCGGTGCATGTCTCTGTTCCTGTGCCCATGTGTGTTGTGTGGTGTGTGCCTGTGTGTGCTTGTGCATGTGCATCGGGTGTGTGTGGTGTGTCTGTGCTTGTGACTATGTACTGAGGGTGAGCGTGTGTGCATGTGTGCCTCTGCACCCATCGGTGTCCGTGTGTTGAGCCCTGTCATGGGCTGTGCAGCCGACAGTGAGATGAGTCTGGAGCCTGGGGGTGCTGGGCTAACGTCAGCCAGGAGGGTGTCACTGGTGAGGGATGTGTTGACAGCCAGGGCTCCCTATCAGCCCCTGGAGCAGGCGAGGATGAAGTCAAGCAGGCCCTTCCCAGCCTGGGCCTCGCAGAGGGTGGCTGCAGACCAGGGGTTGGGAGGCAGCCAGTGGTGGGGCAGGAGGAGCTGAGAGGTGGCACCTGGGGCAGGCAGGGCTGCAGTGTGTGTGGGCGGCAGTCTGCGTGGTCTCCCTGTGCACACACACACCCCTCCCCAGCTCGGTGTCTATGCCATCCCTGCTGGCGTTGTCTGCCTGCTGTCCACCATCTGCCTCCGGGAGAGCGTGCCCCCCACCCCGCCCTCTGCCGGGGCTGCCAGCTCCACCTCAGAGAAGTTCCTGGATGGGCTCAAGCTGGTCAGTGCTGTGGGATCCCCAGGGTAGGGTGGATTTGGGGGTTGGGGCTAGAGGCCGAGGAGGGGATGGGTTTGGGAAGGGCCCCCGGGGCTGCAGGGCTGAGACATTCTTTCCCCGAAGCTGGTGCGGAATAAGGCCTATGTCATCCTGGCTGTGTGCTTCGGGGGATGCATCGGGATCTCCTACAGCTTCTCAACCCTCCTGCAGCAGATCCTCTGTGCAAGCGGCTACTCCAATGTGAGCCCTGGCCCCACCCATGGGGGCTCTGCCTCTGTCACCCACCCCATACGGCCACGGAGTCACCGCTGCCTCTGGGGTGCTCCGTGTCCGATCCTGGCAGGGGCCACATTGACGCCCTTCTGTGCCGTGGGCCCTCCCGAGATGCCTTGGGCGACATTATGTCCACAGGCGGTGGAGGTGGTGGGCACAGCTGCAGCGAGGTGGTGCAGCTGTGGGATGGAGTGGAGGGACTGATGGTGCGTGGTTGGGAAGATGGGGCCCCCAGGGCTCCCAGTGCCCCTTCCCAGCAAGACCCCACCCCTGTGGGTCTGCAGGACAGGGCCATCTTCTGGTATCCAGACATGCAGCAGGGAGGGCCTTGCTCTGCTCACACATTCTGAGCTGGCCCTCTGTCCTCTGGGATCAGTGCCCGGTGTAGGATTGGGGGCATGTTTCCACCTTTGCCTTCGCCTCCTCCAGGGGTTTTCTGGCCTCTGTGGAGCTCTCTTCATCGCGTTTGGGATCCTGGGGGCGCTGGCTCTCGGCCCCTACGTGGACCGGACCAAGCACTTCACTGAGGCCACCAAGATCGGCCTGTGCCTGGTCTCTCTGGCCTGCATGGCCTTTGCTCTGGTGAGGGTCTCCTCAAGCCAAGACTGCCCTGCAGGGGTGGGTGGGTGGTGAGGCCCGGAGAGGGCGGTTGGCAGCTTGGCTGGAACAGAGGTCCGGACTGTCTCCTGCCCGGCCTCTGCCAGCTAGGGTGGCCCCTGGGTGGGATGGGTTCTCCCGCCCCATGCCCCGTGTCCCATGAAACCAGGTCCAATTCTGACCGCCACCCCCTCCACCTGTCTGCCTGCCGTTCCGCTGCTCCCAGGTGTCCCTGCTGCAGGGACAGGCCCTTGCCCTGGCCACCACCTGCTCGCTCCTCGGGCTCTTTGGCTTCTCGGTGACCCCCGTGGCCATGGAGTTGGCAGTCGAGTGTTCCTTCCCCGTGGGGGAGGGGGCTGCCGTAGGCCTGATCTTTGTGCTGGGGTGAGTATCCATCTGCCCCTGCTGCTCCCCAGAGATACTCCCCTTGCTCCACCCCTACACCCCTGGGGTTGCACCCTGTGGTCCAGGCCCCTTTTCGGGGAGGTGGGGAACCTGCCTGCTCTGGCAAGAGCCGAGCAGGTTCTGAGCGCCTGCTGTGTGCAGGCCGGGCCAGCTGATAGGGCCCGTGACCGAAGCTGTGTGCTGCCTTCGGGAGGGTGGTGGCAAAAGGGACAGCACTGATGTCAACACTTCCCAAAGTGGCACCTGGCTCTGAGGGGATGGGCAGTGCAGCGGGGGCTGAGGGCCACGTGTGTCTAGGCAGGTCGAGGGAATATTCATCATGCTGGCGATGATGGCACTGACTGTGCAATGCTCGGAGCGGTCCTTCTCCACCTGCCAGCAGGGGGAGGATCCACTTGACTGGACAGGTGAGCACCACATGGAGAGTTCCCGGGGAACGGGACAGGTGAGCCCCACGCAGGGAGTCCCTGGGCAACAGGACAGGTGAGCTAGGACAGGTGTGGCCAAGATCAGAGGTGGGTTGGCACACCCATATCCCAGACCCCATGCTGGTGACCTCTCTCAGGACCTGGGTCTGCAAACACCCCCTCAGGGCTGTCAAGAACTGGGAGTGGGCTCTGTCTGGGGTCACTCTGTGGTCAAGGGTAGTGGTGTCACCATAGGCCAGCGTCCGGCTCTGCCCATCTGTGGCCCCGGGGCTTGGCTGTGGGGACAGCTGTGCTATGTGTCCCCAGCGTCTGTGCTGCTGATGGCCGGCCTGTGCAACCTCTTCAGCTGCATCCTGGTACTCTTCTTCCACACCTCATACCGGCGCCTGCAGGCAGAGTCTGGCAAGTCCTCCTCCACCCAGAACGCGTGCCCAGGCGCCGAGGACCAGGAGTCCCCGCCGGAAACTACCCCTTGAGGCCCCAGCATGGCACTCCCAGCTTGGAAGCTCAGGGCCAGCTCATTCCTGGAGCCGCTTCTCTGGGCCCTGCCACCTCCTCCCAGAGCCCCAAGATGCGGAGACTGACCAGGGACGTGTGGTGAAGGGGAGGCAGGCTCGGGTCACCGGGGCTGTGCCCACCACGCCAGACAGCTGGGCTGAGGGACCCAAGGCGTTCGGCGCACTCAGGGCCTGGGGAGAGCCCCTGGGCCCCGAGACTGATGCGCGGCTGAGCGAGAGGGCTACTGCTGTGTGGACCCGGACCAGGCAGGGCGGCCGTGGGCGGCGCAGACTCAAGGCGGGGTGTGGACCGAGGGGGAGCGGGAAGGGCTGGGGTCCTGGGGCCCAGCAGGGCGACTCCGGAGTGCAAGGCGGGGGGCCTCGCTAGAGGACCCCAGAGAGCCCCAGAGCCCCCACCCTATCTGCTGCCGAGCGACCCCTCGCGCACAGGGCCCAGCAGCCACGGACGCGCCCTCCCGCCCCGGCGGACTCGCAGGCAGCGTCCTAGCGTCCAGGTTTATTGACCAGGCCGGGCCTCACTCCTCCTTTTCCTCCCCGTGGGTGATCACGTAGCTCAGCGCCTTGTAGTCCAGGTTGCCCGCGGCATCGATGGAGGCGAACTGGAACATCTGGTCCACCTGCGGGCGGGGGCGAAAGGGCCCCCTGAGGGCTCCGGGAGCGAAATACAAACGCGCACCTGCAGCGGTCGCGGGTGTGGTTTCCGCGCCGGGGGAGAGGGAGCGGGGAGGGGCGGGGGCGGGGTAGGGGCGGGGGATGAGGGCGGTGCTGGAGGGGATGGGGGCGGGGATGGGGGCGGGGATGGGGGCGGGGATGGGGGCGGGGATGGGGGCGGGGATGGGGGCGGGGATGGGGGCGGGGATGGGGCGGGGATGGGGCGGGGATGGGGGCGGGGATGGGGGCGGGGATGGGGGCGGCTGCAGCCATAGCCTGGGCGCAGGTGTGGGGCTCGGCCCTTCAGCAGCGTCTGGGAGGACCGTGTGGGGTCTGGGGGAGGTGCGGGGGTCCTGGGGGTGCCCGGGCATTGGTCTCGCCCTCTGGGGCTGGGGCTGGGAGGGGTGCGTCAGGCGTGGGGGGCGGCTGCGGGGCCGCACAGCTGTGAGCCCCGCCCCTCAAGCTGGGACAGACGCTCGGGCGGCGGAGGGGGTCTCCAGCCGCTGACCTAACGGAGGGGAGGGGTCTCCAGCCGCTGACCTGACCCCTCTGAGTCAGTTCTGTCCCTCAAACGGGCACTTTGGGAGTCCCCCCGGGGGCCTGTTCTGTCCTGGGTCCGAACCGCGGCGCTGCAGCCCCTCGGGCTCCGCGTGCGCCTCCAACCAGCTGACCCCGGGAGCCCCGCCCTCCCCTCGTGGGCTTGGCAGGGGAGCCGCGGGCCAGACCTCATCCGCTGTCATCTTGTCAGCCTGGGACATCAGCAGACGCTTGATGCTGAGGACGAGGAAAGGGGTCAGCGCGGGCTGATGCGGGGGCGCAGGAGCCTTCTCGTGGGGCTCAGGTGCTCCAGGGGCCCCAGGCTGCCCCTGCTCACTGCACTCCCGCCCTTCCCGCAGGAGTGTGGCCCTGGGGCAGGCCGCTTCCCAACACACTCAGGGATCATCACGGTTGGGGGAGCCGCTGATGGGGACAGAGCCTGAGGGACCTTAGAGGACACACTCAGGGGTCATCACTTCTGGGGGGCCCGCCTGGGGGCTGCTGATGGGAACAGAGCCCGAAGGAGGTCACAGGCCAGTGCCTGGCAGGAGCTGAAGATGGAGGAGTGGGCTGAGGGGAAGCTGCCCCCTGGGCACTGGCTGCTGGTCCCTGTGTGGGCAGGGCTGGTGTCCCACTTAGCTGGGATCCTGGGTTCACTCCTCATAGTCCTGAAGCTGGTCAGAGGTAGGGAGGTGGGCGTGGCATCTGGTGGGTGATTGTCCCTTTTGGGACAGGGTGAGATCACTGGGGACCCCCGGCGGCCCGGCCGCCCTCCCCCAGCCGGGCACTCACTACTCCTTGTTGATTTTCCCTTTCCCGTCTGGGTCCAGCATCTTGAAGGCGTTTAGAATGGTCTCCTCGGCATCGGTACCTGCCACAAAGGCACCTTCAGCCCTGGGCCTTCAGGGTGGCAGTCCTGCTTCGGCTGCCAAGGGCAGGTGGCAGGAGGGGAGACCCCTGCCCCAAGCAAGGGATGACTCCAAGCCTCTGCCCACAAGGTGGCCACTGCCTGAAGGCCTTCTCCTTTCCTGAGCCCCAAGGAGGCCTTGTCGGACACTCCTGCCCTGGGATGTAGTGAGTTTTGGAGTGCCCAGGGTCAGCCCAGGCCTGGAGCTGGGGGTGAGTGCCGCATGAGTGAGGGACAGAGGTCCTGACAGAGGTCCCGACGGCGGGTCACACAGCATGTGGGGCAGGAGGGCGAGCCTGAGCACATGGCTCTGGGATGGCTGATGGGGCCCCACAGTTGTTGGCTCCCAGAGTGCCAGGCCCTAGGGCTTCTCCAGAGATAGGAAAAGAGGGATTTTTACGTGAAATGTCTGGATCTCTAACTGTCAGGAATTAACTAGGAGGGCAAGGACTGTCCCAACAGTGCTCACCACTCAGCTTCTCCCCAAACATGTTCAGAAACATGGTGAAGTTGATGGGCCCCGAGGCCTCTTTGAGCATGGCGTCCAGCTCATCGTCCTTGACATTGGTCTTGCCTGTCACAGATGCGGGGGCGTCACAGGGCAGGGCTTGTTGCTATGTCTGCTGTCCCACCAGCAGGTGACCCCAGCACAGGGCCAGGCCCCACCAGCAGGTGACCCCAGCACAGGGCCAGGCAGGCAGATGGGAGGGGTGGGGAGGGAGCGGGAAGGAGGCACTTGGCCCAGGCATGTGGGGCAGTGGGTGCGTCTGGCTGGCTGTGTCCACCTCACCCCAAACCCTGAGCCCCAGGACTAAGGGCTGATGGAGAGGGAGGTGACACAGAGCTTGGGAAGGTGCTGGGATCTGCTGTTCTTACTTGGGCATAAGCAGGGCTGAGAGGAAGACGGGTCACTTGTGACCCTCCCACCCCAAGGAGAAGTCACTCCATAGCTCCCAGGGTGGGACCGAAGCCCCCTGCCCTCCTGCCTCAGGTCAGAGGCAGCTGCTGGGAACAGAATATGCCACAGGGAGAACTGAGGCTGGGGAGGGCAGTGTGCCCCACCACACTTGGGCTGTGCTGCAGAGGCGGGCCAGGGTCTCCAGGCCCTCCCCCAGCTCTGTGTTCCGGCTGGGCAGGGTCTCCATGCCCTCTGTCAGCTCTGTGGTCCGGCTTAGGGCAAGCCGCCTGCCTATCGGAGTGTCCTACCGGAGCGTCAGCCCTGCCCTGGAGCCTGCTGCCCCAAAGCCCACTCTGAGTTTCCAGGCTTGGGCTGTACCACCCACCCTGTCTCACCCTGGGACACTCTCTGCTAGCTCTGATGGAACCAAGGGAGGCCAGGGCCATCCCCTCGCAGCCTTCAGGGCCGTCGGATGGGTCTTTAAAGCCCAGGCCCTGGAGGAGGAGGGGCCGCAGCGTATGGGACTGGAGGATGCTCTGTATTCGCCTCCTCCAAGGTCTCTGAGGTGTTCTGCCTGGGTACCTACCCAGGGAGGCGTAGGTGTCCTTCAGGTCCTCCTTGTCGATGAAGCCGTCTCGGTTCTGATCCATGAGTGTGAATGCCTGGGAAGCGAGGCCAGGGCTGCTGTGCTGCCGACCCGGCTGGGCTCTGCCCCTGCCCCCTGCTCCCAGCTCCTCAGCACCCCTGACTGAGGATAGGCTCCCACTCCTATCCTCTGGCCCTAGAGCCAGCCCACATGGGGTCTTCCCAGCACAGGCTTCTGGGGACGGGGGCTCCCAGTGAAGCAGGAAAGTCTTACCTCCTTGAACTCCTGGATCTGAGTCTGCTCAAAGTTGGAGAAGACATTGGATGAGGCTCTCTGGGCCCGGAGGGCACCCCCTTCCTTCTTCTTGGTCTTCCTGCTGGCCTGCAATGGGAGCACCATGGCTGAGGGTCCTGGCCGGCTGAGGAAACCCTCCAGAGCACCCAGAGTTTTGAGAGACTTAACTCAGATGAAGGGTGGACCTCAGCCCTTGGGTGGGGCTGGAGGGGGCCAGGCAGCTGAGGAGCATGCCAGCCTCAAGCCTGGGTAGCTGGGGTTGGGGACAGGGCGGCTGCTGGTGTCTGGCTGCAGCACAGGGAGTGGGGGAGAGAGAGTGGCTTCCGGAAGACCCACAGAGCACAGTGGTCAGTGATTGCCGTCCAGCAGGAGCCAGCTTGGCCTCTGAAGGCTTGACGGGCAAGTGGACTCTGGGTGGGCTTGTTCTGGGTACTGGGATTTCATGAAGGCCAGGAACCCCCTCATCCTGCTCCAGACTCTCACCAGGGCAGCAGCGTGGGGCATGTACCTCCCACCACACAGCACACACCCACACCTGCATGGTCACACACACGCACATACACATGTTCATGCACACACACATGCACACACAGCACATGCCCACACCTGCACTCACAGGCATGCACAGACATGCCCATGCTCTTTTCTGTGCACATGTACACACGCACGGCACAGCTCATACCCACATGCCTACCCCAGGCACGCACAGTGGCCTGCTCACCATGCCTGCTTCTGCCTGCTTCGATGCGTCTGCCCAGGGCCTCAGGTCTTGCCCATCTTAAGCTCCCACTTGGTCCCCCAGGACAGCTCAGACTCCGGCTGCCACTCCCTACAAGGACAGGTTTGGGGCTACCCCAGGGAACTGGACAACTGCAGAGTGAGCTTTGGCAGCCCAGCAGTGACTCACACCCTTGCCATGCCCCACCCTGCAAGGCCCCCAGCCTCCCCAGGCACCTCTGGCCAGGACCACCTCCTACCCCACGTGTCCCCCACCCGCGGGGAGGCTTAGTTCTCCCAACGATGCTGTGTGTCACCAGGGCCACCTGCACTAGCTCTTGCCTGGGGCCTGGGCACCCTGGAACTGCAGGAGCCAGAGGAAGGGGTATCTTTTCTGGATTTGCACCAAGCTGCTGTGGGTGACTGCAGCTGGTCACCAGGCTTCTGCCAAGCACACTGTGTGTCAGGGGTGTTTACGCCCTTCCCTGCCTCAGTGACAGAAAAGTCAGTCCATAGCCTTGGCCCTGGGACCACCCGGTCTGACCTCATGGCTGGGACCTCCTTGCCTGGCCCATGGGTGATGACATTTCTGGGATGGAGGAGCCACAGAGGTGGCCAAGCTGCTCAGATGGCCTGGGAGGGGACTCCAGGGCCCTGAGCCTGGTCTTACCCCCTATACCATGGCCTCAAGGGCAGAGTCTGGGGAAGGGACCTGGCCTGGGGTCTGTTGGTGGTGCCAGATATCGGAGGCCACCACAGAGTCAATCCAGATGCCCTGGTTCAAGGGGTGGGAGGAGGGTCTGCAGGCCAAGCAGGATCAAAGGGATCAAGGGAGGCCTGCAGACTGAGTGGAGAACTAGCTCTTGGAGCCCCCCAGGCCTGCGTCTGGGTGGGAGGCAGCTGCCCCTCGGTGCTGCAGGGGCGGGGGTGGGAGTAAGTGTATGCAGCCACAGCAGTCGGGTGGAATCCCCTGGGGGCACCATTGTGTCTGCAAAGCTAAAAAGACAGGTGCCACTTGTGTGTCTTTTGAGCAGAGGTCCTACCCTCTGAGGGACACATGGTTACAGTTGGCATCCCCTGAGATGCTGCATGGTTCCATCCCCAGGTCCAACGGTCTCTATGCAGCACTGACGCTCGAGCTCGAGGTCCCTGGGAGGCATGACCTGCCCAGGAGGGACCTGGGGCCGACTGCAAGGGGCCAGGTGACCAGATGTGGGAACCTGGGGCTGGGAACAAGGGCCAGGGCATCCCCTGCTGCTAGTCCAGTGGGGTCTGGGTATGACCCTGAAGGGGTATTGCTGGGCTGCAGGAGTGAGAAGAACCACACCGAAAGGGGAAGCATGGTTGGGAGGCCCCCCGAGGCCACCAGGAATGTGAGAAGGGCTGCAGAGCTCCCTGCAGAGGGTTCCCAGGCCACTGGAGTCTGAGCACAGCACTAAAGATAGCAGCAGAGCCTGAGCTGGGGGACTATCAGCTTCTGCACCCACAGCTGACCCGACAGCTGCAGAGGCCCCGACAGGCCATGTCTTGAGCCAGGTGGGACCCTTCCCACCACTGAGCTCTCAGGAAAGGCCCTGAGCAAAGGCAGGTCTCCACCGGCTTCAGGGGGTCTTCCCTGGGCGGTATGTGTTTGCCCGAGTGTTTTCCCTGCTGGTGCCCTGCCCTGCCCCACCCCACCTCCGGTGGAAGCTGCTGGTATGTCCCCCTCACCCCCCACCTTGGGCCCCAGAGACACTTATTTTTGATTCTGGAAGCAGGAGTTGCTGAGGACTCTGGTTTATTTTAAAATCCAGTGAAGGGAAACCACCCGTGGTCACCCGAGGCCGTCTGCCCTGGCGGAAGGTGGGGGCTTTGCTGAGGGCCAGAATGCTTCTGTGCCTGGCGGATCCAGTGTGCACCTGCGGCTTCCTCAGCAAGCAATAGGAGGTCTGGGGAGAGCTGGGGCTTGCTTCTGGCCCCCTGAGGACAGGGTTCAGGCAGAGGCCTCAGGCAGGAGTCTTCAGGGCCTGCAGGTCAACCTCACAGAAGCTGGAGAAAAGATCAGGGTGGCCCCACAGCAAGTCCCCAACCTTTTTGGCACTTGGGACAGGTTTCATGGAGGACAATTTTTCCGTGTTGGGGAGGAAGGTTTCGGGATGAAACTGTCCCACCTTAGTTCATCAGGCATTAGATTCTCACAGGGAGAGCGCAATCCAGATCCAAGTGCGCAGCTCACAGTACAGTTCATGCTCCTGTGGGAATCTGATGCCCAGGCTGATCTGGCAGTGGGTGGCGCTCAGGCGGTCATGCTCCCTCAATGCTCCCTCACCTTATCCTGTGCTGCCCGGTTCCCAACAGGCCACCAGCTGGTACTGGTCTGTGGCTGGGGGCTGGGAACCCCTGCCCTATAGGATTGGTCTTGGTATACCCAGCCCAGGAAACAGAGCCCAGTGACTTCCCAGTTTCTCAGCCAGAGAGGCCCAGGCCCTGGACCCCAGAACAAGCCAGGAGAGAAGGTAGAGGTGGCTCAGGCCTGGGCAGGCAGCCCAGGTCGCCAGGATTGTGGTCCTCCCCATGCCCGCTTCAGGAGTCCTGGAGTTTGTGATGCTGCACCTTAGCGAGGCCCGAGCCATAGTTCTCCAGTTGCTTCTGCCCGTAGCAGTGCAGGGCCAGGAGAGGGGACACAGGAGGTCTTGCGTCACTACTGCATGGGGCCAAAGGGGGCCCGCAGATGGCCCAACACGGACAGCATGGCTGCTGCCAGGAAGATCCAGAACGTGGGAGGGGCAAGGCTCCTGCCCAGACTCCAGGCCTGGTGTCCATGGGGCTGCCAGGTCAGCACCCCGGGTACAGCGGGGAGGCTACATGGGCACCGCAGGCCCTATCTCTGGGCAGCTGTGGGAGACACACAGCTACTGGGAGGTGGACAGAGGCCAGCAAAGACCAGTGAGGGGCTCAGTGGTCCCCAGGCCTGGGCCGGGGCGGGCCCTTGGAGCTGTGGAGTCCTGAAGGCTGGAGTCGGGGGACCCAGGGAGCAGCCTCTGTTGGGGGCTGGTCTTCCCAAGAAGATCCCAGCCCCTCCTCGGGACGGAAGTGATGGGAGATCCTGGGGTGAGGAAGCTCCAGCTCCGGCGGGAAGGGCGTCCGGTGCCCCCAGGCAGAGCAGCCACAGGCAGAGCGGCCTGGAGGCCATGCTACCGCGGGCTGCGGAGTCCAGCGCGGCCCGGCCGGCGACAGACACTGGCCAGAGGGTCACTGCCCTGTAGGGGAAGGGTCACTGCCCTGTAGGGGAAGGACCTGCCCGGGGAGCCACCTGCACTTGGCTCACACTCCGCTCCCAGGACCCCCAGGTCCCTGCCCAGGCCGCCCTCAGGTGGGCACGGACCGCGGGGCTGGACCCGCCCGAGCCGCCCTGACCTCAGGTCCCGGACGCTCCGCGCCGCAAGAAGACCGAGTGCGCCTCAGTCCGCAGTCTGGGGTGTGGACACACGGCCAGGACGCGCACGACAGGACCTCAGCAGCGGCGCGGGGAGACAGCCGGGCCCAAGCCCTGCGGCGAAAAGAAACCCCCGGCCCACTCGGCGCTGACACCGCCTCACGAAGCAACCGCGCGGGCGCCGCCGGTGGTCATCCGCGCACGCCCCGGCCCTTGTGCGCGTGCGCATCACGTGACGTCACCACGGCCCGGGAGTGCGCAGTCACCCTCCAGCCACCAGGAGGCGCGCCCCGCCCCCCTGCCCCGCTCTCTCGCTGCTGACAGCGCATGCGTCCGTCCAGCTCCGCCTTTGCCTCCAAGGCTTTGCGGGCTTGTGCGGCGTCCGCCTCCGACTGCGGGTTGTGCTTCCGGTGCGGAGGTCAGGGACAAGATGGTGCCGCCGGTGGAGGTCTCTCCGCTCATCAAGGTGATCCAGGCTTTGCAGCCGCCGAGCAGTGCTCTGGGCCCCTCCGTGTCCCGCCCCGCAGCTCCCACCCCGCGGGCTGCGACCCCCGCCCCCCGCCCCCCGCCCCCATGATCCCCGCCCGGCGACCCTCGCCCGGCGACCCGTCCCCCACCCCTCCTGCGATCTCTGCCCGGCGACCCCATCCCCTCTCCTCCCGCGACCCCCATCCCGCGAGTCCGGTTTCCCGCCGCCTCTGATCAACCTCTCTCGCAGCTCGGCCGCTACTCCGCCCTGTTCCTCGGTATGGCCTACGGAGCCACGCGCTACAGTGAGTGACCGCGGGCGGACCCGGGGCCGGGGCGGGATCTGCTCGGCTTTCCTGTGAAGTTCTTCATCTGCCATTTGGTGAACTCCAGCTCTGGAAGTGGGGCTGGGACTCATGCGAGGCAGACCGTGTCCTCCACCGAGCGGGACCCCTAGAGTGGAAACAGCTCACCCAAAGCTCAGGCCTCTGAGGCTCGGGCGGGGGACTCGAAAACGGCTGCTGCTTGTTGAAAACGGGTGCTGAGTGGGTGTTGGAGTGCTGAGGTCTGACGGGAGGCAGCCCCTGTTCACAGAGGACGAGTGAGCCAGTGCATGAGGGAGTGGGCAGCAGGGACCCTGTAGCCTCTGGATTGGACTCTTTAGGGTGAAGGTCAGGCGTTGACTCTCGTTGACATAAAGAGAGGGGACAGCAGGTGCTTCTGGTTCACAGCGTCGCTGAAGATACCTTGACCTGTGGACTCAGTTCCTTTTATGCAGCATTTCCAGTGAAGTTTATTCCCCTGCATTCCCCCAAACAGATTACCTAAAACCTCGGGCAGAAGAGGAGAGGAGGATAGAAGCAGAGGAGAAGAAGAGGCAGGATGAACTGAAACGGATTGCCAGAGAATTGGCAGAAGGTACGTGTGACACTAGCTCTTATAGATTGTCCCTCCCAGGTTTGTGCAGGGATAAGGAAAATGGAGAAGGACATTCAAGCAGAGCTAAGTAGATGTGGATTGTTTAAAAACAGGGAAGCTGGCCAGGCATGGTGGCTCATGCCTGTGATCCCAGCATTTTGGGAGGCCGAGGCGGGCAGATCACCTGAGGTCAGGAGTTCAAGACCAGCCTGACCAACATGGTAAAACCCTGTCTCTACAAAAATTAGCTGGGCATGGCTGGGTGTGGTGGCTCATGCCTGTAATCCTAGCACTTTGGGAGGCCGAGACAGGCAGACTGCCTGAGTTCAGGAGTTCGAGACCAGCCTGGGCAAGATGGTGAAACTCCATTTCTACTAAAATACAAAAAATCAGCCGGGCATGGTGGCAGGCATGTAATCCCAGCTACTCAGCTGAGGCACAAGAATTGCTTGAACCTGGGAGGTGGTGCTTGAATCCAGGAGGCAGAGGTTGCAGTGAGCTGAGATCACACCACTGCACTCCAGCCTGGGCAGCAAAGCAAAACTCTTTGTCTAAAAAAAAAAAAATTAGCCAGGTATGATGGCAGGTACATGTAATCCCAGCTACTCAGGAGGCTGAGGCGGGAGAATCGCTTTAACCTGGGATGCAGAGGTTGCAGTGAGCTGAGATCACACCATTGCACTTCAGCCTGGGTGACAGAGGGAGACTCCATCTCAAAACAAAAAAACAAACAGAAACAACTGGGAAGCTGACGTCTTTTTAGGTTACCTGCGTGTAGTAACATGTGCTTTTCTTCTAACCTTCCAGCCCAAGATGACAGCATATTAAAGTGAGTGACCCCGTGACCCTCTCTCTGGAGCAGCAGCGGATGAATAAAGCTTCCTGTGATGTGTGATACTCTGGCTCCTTCTCATTTGCTGTCACTGGTTGTCAAACTCCTAGGTTGAAGTTCTGTCCATCTCCCAGTTCACATGAGGTGGAAGACAGGGAGGGGGTTTCAAAAGTATTAATCCACGTGACCATTCACAGACCCAGAATGCATCATACAAACACAGCGAGAAGGACAGACGCGCGCTGCCTGTTCTGTCTGGGGCATCCAGGTGGGCGCCCCAAAGGGCGTCTGTAATGGTCAGTCAGCTGGAGGCCTCATGAGTACTGGGGTTGTCTTGATTCTGAGTTCTAGGCTGCTGCTGTCAGCAGCCCAGACTCCTGGATGGGGAGAGGTGGGCACTGGCTGCTGCCCTTACAGTTGGAAGCTGGGTCCTCCACGATAACTCCTTGCCCCCACCTGCCACTTCACAAATCCTCCCTTTGATCCCAGGAGGTGGCCAGGTCAGACTTGGGACTAAAAGTCCAGTGATGTGACCTCATGAGGACAGGGCCTGAGTGCTGTTTGAGCTGTGCAGGAAGGTGGTCCTGTGGTGCCTGAGCGACTTCCCTCTCCAACAGGATGGAAGTTGCTACTTCCCAATTACATGCCTTGAACAAATCTAGGCTTGGAGCCCCAGTTTGTAAAATGAGTTCATTTGCACATGTGAGGCCAGAGGGAGGAGCAGCCTACAAGCTTTTCAGGACATTTGGTTAAGGTGAGGTTTGAGTGAGCAAGATGCTTTCACATCCTGTCCTGGCGTCCAGAGGGGCTGGTTGCAGGGTCCTTCAGAACCTCTTAGGAGCCCCTCATCCCAGTCCCAGGCTCTGGATACCAGGGGTCTCTGACCAGTGAGATGAAAATGAAGGCTGGGCACGGTGGTTCACGCCTGTAATCCCAGCACTTTGGGAGGCTGAGGTGGGCGGATCACTTGAGGTCAGGAGTTCAAGACCAGTCTGGCCAACATGGCAAAACCCCGTCTTTACTAAAAATATAAAAATTAGCTGGTTGTGGTGATGGGTGCCTGTAATCCCAGCTACTCAGGAGGCTGAGGCAGGAGAATTGCTTGAACCCAGAAGGTGGAGGTTGCATTGAGCCAAGACCATGCCGCTACATTCCAGCCTGGGTGACAGAGTGAGACTGTCTCAAAACAAAAAATCCAGCACCCGTTTCCTGCAGGCCTTTGGCGGTGCTGGGCACGTCTGCTGCTCTCCTACACCCACCCCAATGACCCCATCTAGTTAAGTGTCATTGTCGGGAGCAAATGCTTTGGAGCTCCCATCATGAGTTGAACATCCCGAATTTAACATAATTCCCATTTCAACTGGGAAGTCCATTTCTTTGCCTCTGTCCTTTACTCCAGGCTCACCAATATTTAGTCATGGGGGTGCACAGGCATCGGCATCCAGCCCCGCCCTCCCCTCCTGGTGCCATCTGGAGCCATCAGAGCCACTGCGTGGTGTTCATTACAGATCATTTCTGCTCAGACCACTGAAGTTGGATGGCCGCTCTACCTGTGGCCTTGACCTTTCTGGCAGAATTTTTCTGATGGGTCAAATGTAGTGTGGCTTCTGCTATCATTTTACCACATATAATGGGCAAGTGGTTTTCTGTTTATTTTATTCTGAATTTCTGAGCATGTGTGTTTTCCTAAACCAGATGAGAAACAGCCTGTGTCCATCTGTCTACCTGTATACACATATGTACATGTGTGGCTGCAAATGTTCTCAGTGATTTCAGAGTTCATGCATGGACCCTTTTCAAAGACCTCCCAGTGGTAACTATCCAAAAACGATGAGTAATGTAAGCTACAATTTATTCACAGTTGGCTTCAGTTTATAAAAACACGCATGGTGGCTCATGCCTGTAATCCCAGCACTTCAGGAAGCTGAGGCGGGGTGATCATCTGAGGTCAGGAGTTTGAGACCAGCCTGCCCAATATGGTGAAACCCCATCTGTACTGAAAATACAAAAATTAGTTGCGTGTGGTGGCGGCGCCTGTAGTCCGAACTACTCAGGAGGCTGAGGCACGAGAATCGCTTGAACCTGGGAGTTGGAGGTTGCAGTGAGCTGAGATTGTGCCAGGGCACTCCATCCAGCCTGGGTGACAGAGCAAGACTCCATCTCAAAAAAAAAAAAAAAAATTAAAATATCCAAAATGATCTTCAGTCATTTTCTTGGACTTCCTAACCTCTGGCAGCAAATGGCCACAGGCAGAACCCACATCCTAGTGGGTGAAGACTGAGGGAGCCATCGGGTCCCCACAGGCTGGTGCTCACAGGATACAGCAGGTTGAAGACTTGGGTGCTGGGCCGCCATTGCAGATTTCTGTGCCTACTGCAAGGGAAGACGGAAGATGGTGAGTGGGACCACCTGTGCACACCAGCCCTGTTCGTTCCCTCCTGCTTGGTGTGACCTCTACCAACCCCTGCAGGAGGAACGACAGTGCCTGGGCCTGTGACCAGTTCAAGCTGATTAGCCAGGCTGAGCCTTTCTTAGTGCTTTAGCCCCTGTTGACACTGTGCCCTGATTATGCTCGTCATGGCCTTCCACAGCCCTGAAGTCTCCTTGTTTATGTAGCATGCGATAGCGGGAATAGCATGGGGTAGGGGAATAGCATGGGATAATGGGAATAGCGTGGGGTAGTGAAATGGCATGAAATAGGGGAATAGCATGGGATAGTGGGAATAGCATGGGATAGTGGGAATAGCATGGGGTAGGGGAATAGCATGGGATAATGGGAATAGCGTGGGGTAGTGAAATGGCATGAAATAGGGGAATAGCATGGGATAGTGGGAATAGCATGGGATAGTGGGAATAGCATGGGGTAGGGGAATAGCATGGGGCAGTGAGAATAAATAGCGTGGCATAGTGGGAATAGCATGGGGTAGTGGGAATAGCATGGCATAATGGGGATAGGGGAATAAATAGCATGGCATAGGGGAATAGCATGGGATAGTGGGAATAGCATGGGGTAGGGAAATAGTATGGCATAGGGGACTAGCATGGAGTAGTGGGAACAGCATGGCATAGGGGAATAGCATGGGGTAGTGGGAATAGCATGGGGTAGGGGAATAGCATGGGGCAGTGAGAATAAATAGCGTGGCATAGTGGGAATAGCATGGGGTAGTGGGAATAGCATGGCATAATGGGGATAGGGGAATAAATAGCATGGCATAGGGGAATAGCATGGGATAGTGGGAATAGCATGGGGTAAGGAAATAGTATGGCATAGGGGACTAGCATGGAGTAGTGGGAATAGCATGGCATAGGGGAATAGCATGGGGTAGTGGGAATAGCATGGGGTAGTGGGAATAGCATGGCATAGTGGGAATAGCATGGGGTAGGGGAATAAATAGTGCAGCATAGTGGGAATAGCATGGGGTGGGGAATAGCATGGGGTAGTGGGAATAGCATGGTGTGGTGAAGAATAGCATGGGACAGTGAGAATAGCATGGGGTAGGGAAACAGCATGGCATAGGGGAATAGCATGGGATAGTGGGAATAGCATGGCATAGTGGGAATAGCATGGCATAGTGGGAATAGCATGGGATAGTGAGAATAGCATGGGGTAGGGAAACAGCATGGCATAGGGGAATAGCATGGGGTAGTGGGAATAGCATGAGACAGTGAGAATAGCATGGGGTAGTGAGAATAGCATGGGGTAGTGAGAATAGCATGGGATGGGGAATAGCATGGGGTAGTGGGAATAGCATGAGATAATGCGAATAGCATGGTGTGGTGAAGAATAGCATGGGACAGTGAGAATAGCATGGAGTAGGGAAATAGCATGGCATAGGGGAATAGCATGGGATAGTGGGAATAGCATGAGATAATGGGAATAGCATGGTATAGTGAAGAATAGCATGGGATACTGGGAATAACATGGGGTAGGGAACTGGCATGGCATAGGGGAATAGCATGGGACATCGGGAATAGCATGGGTAGGGAAATAGCATGGGGTAGTGGGATAAATAGCATGGCATAGTGGGAATACCATAGGGTAGCTGGAATAGCATGGGGTAGTGGGAGCAGCATGGGGTAGTGGGAATAGCATGGGGTAGCTGGAATATCTTTGGGTAGTGGGAGCAGCATGGAATAGTGGGACTAGCATGGGGTAGCGGGAATAGCGCGGGATAGTGGGAGCAGCACGGGGTAGTGGGAGCAGCATGGGGTAGCGGGAATAGCATGCCAAACCTCAGAGCTAAGGTAGCCAATTGCGGGCAAATGGCAAGACCACGATGCCTTTGGGATTTGAACTTGGGGGTGTGCTGACTTGTTACAACTTGTTATATGTGTTTTATAAAGAATGTAACATGTAGTTACTTCTTTTGTGAAAAATGGGGTTCATCGGCTAGGAACAGGAAACTTTTCAGTTCGGGTTTGCTACCAAGATGGAGTCAGCTGCTGCTCTCCCCTGCCGTAGCCCCGCTCCCTGCACCATGGCCCTGTCCACCTCGGGGCTGCTTGAAAGTGGCTCTGCTTTTCTCCATTTTAACTCTGCTCTGCGCCCTGTCTTTTCACTTCGTCTTGGGAGAGTCACCGAGTCCCTGCCCCGCAGGCCACACAGAGCCAGACCTTTCTTGAGGGCCACCCTCTCCTCCTCCTTCTTCTCCTCCTCCAGAGCCTTCACTTTGGCCTCGTACTCATCAGCCAGTGCCTTCCACTCCTTCCTGTTGTTCTGCAGTCGGTCGAACATGGGCAGGATCTCTTCGTGGAAACGGGAGAACTCCTGAGGGGGGTCGAGAAGTCACCACGAGTCCTGTCCTGCCTGCTCTCCGAAAGTAAGATAGCCCTTCCCCAGCCCTCCCCCTCGTAGGGGAACTGCCTGGCGGGAGGAGGGAGCGCCACGGAGGGGTCACCTTCCCAGCAGAGCCCTACGAAGGGAGAAACCTTGGGGCTGGTGTTGGTGACATTAAAGCCGGGAGCTTTAGGGTGTGAATGCTTAAGCCGCAGTGTTGCAGGGAGAGGAACCCAAGAATGAGCAGAACAGCTCAGAGGGTGGGGGCAGGGTGCTGGCCAGAGGAGT